ATAAAGCGTCACAGAATTGTTCACTGACAACAAAACAAACTTGTACATACCCACGATGCTACCAAAGGCGTGAGATGTCTGTGGATTGTGCTGGATTAAACACGACGACCATAACGTTTCTCTCATAGACGATCTATCACTCTACTTTCTGCTTCCGCGTACGCGTCTTCCGCTTTGACGACGTCACGTCCGGTTGTAAACTATGCTGTTTGCAATGGAATCAATAAAGTTACGTTGCATAAAGAAATACTCTGAACTATGCATAGGAATAGCAACGTTACTTTCGTGTAACTTAAATACAACATTCAAATTTAGATTAACTGTTAGTTGGGGACAGAACAGTGATCAAAGTGAAAGACGGAGGAAGCAAAATAAAAGACATTATCCAAGAAATTGATGGAAGTGAATGCTGATCGTTAATTTCGCAATTTCTTTCCCTTTTTTTTCTTTCTACACTGACTATATGAAGTGTCAAATAAGTTTTTGCTCATACTTATGCACTATTGGAATAAAAATAAAGAGTACACATGCGTGTGTGTGTGTGTGTGTGTGTGTGTGTGTGTGTGTGTGTGTGTTTACATCTGAGATCAAATTTGCTATAGTGAAAACCCCCCTGTTGTGAAAAATTTCTTGCTGCAAACATGATTTCGTTGGAGAGGAGTTTCACTATATATGTTTGTGTTAGGTACACTATCTGTATATTTCTACATTCATATTTTTATTACATGTTCTTATGACCTAACATTTTGTCTTTTTGAAAGCCTCCAGAGTGCGGAAGGATTTGGAATTGTCCAGCAAATCTGATTGCGAGATCTTCTGTGACTTAGTGGATTCAGTGGAGCAACTCGATAACCTTCAGGTCTCATTCACATTCGCAACAAGACATGATTAAAAACTGTTAACAATTCGTTCCCACATCTGTAAATTGTCAAGTATATACTGTGTACTTGGGCTGTCGTAAAAATCATTTTGTTTTTTGGGGACAGGTACCACTTGTGGAGTCGAATGGGTTTCTCAACGGCCACGTGGCCTTGGAGTCATCTCTGTTTCAACTTCAACAACAAGAAAGGCAAATTGAATCCAGACAGGTGGGAGCCGGACACGGTGGAGAGAGGCGAAAGGATGCAAAGGATAACGGTAAAAATAGAAGGCGAACCAACGGCCTCAAGGGCTCACACCACAACTGGAGGGAATGTAAGTAAAATGAATTAGCTCAGGGGCGGCAAACTGATTTACGTGACAGGTTAAGTGACTGCTTTAATTTGAAGGTGGTGTTCCACTGAGAAGTACAGGGCCAGGTACCAAAGACGGTTCTAGCGGGGCAGACGGAGGAGGAGATGGTTCAGAAGGTTTGCCGGAATGGCGAAATGACGTCCAGCTTCAGCAACAAATCCTTCTGGCCCTGAGAAAGCTCAGAGAGGATATGAGGAGCGTCATGGAAAGGCTGGAGGCGGTGAAGGCGTTCATCACCACACATGTAAGCACGTGTGGTTTATTTTCTTACGGTTGTGAAAGCTGGGGCTTTCATATCGCATTGTAAATTATTTTTTGCACACAGAAAAAAAAACCCTCAAAATTTTATCATTATTCAGAAACTGTTTGCTATACCGCTACCCGATTCTTTTGTCGCTGGAACAAATGTTGACTTTCAGTTTAACCCCCAGGAGGAAAAGCGGTGGCCATTTCACGCATCCGCTCAGAATGTTCTTCTGTTCCTGCTGTGGCCATTTGCTGTCCAAGGTATACTCTATCTACTGCAAAAGACCAAGAGGAGAAGTCGTGTTCTTCATGAGGTGATGTGAACGAAAAGATTTTCTAACTCGTCACTGGAAACCATTAAAGCAGGATATGAAGTTTCTGCATGGAAAGGGGATTCCTGTGGATTTTCACTAGCTTCTCCTAGCACAGAGAATAAGGAGAATGTGGACTTCAATTTTACCCCACAGATTTTGTCGTCGGTAGGAAATGTAAATCCAGACTATAATTCAGTATTCATCAAATCAGATTTGGCGGGAGTTTTTATTGCTGACATCAATTTTAATGACAGAACTATAAAATAAGTGCGAATGTTTTTGTCATTCATGGGTTCGTTTAATACTGGGGTTTTCAATCCTGTTCCTCGAGGGCCGCTGTCCTGCCTGCTTTCCATTTCTCCTCTGCTGCAACACACCTGATTGCAATGATCACGATGGTTATCCAGCTTGCTGATTATCGGATCATTTGAATCAGGCGTGTTGCAGCAGGGAGAAATGGAAAACAAGCAGGACAGCCGGCCATCAAGGAACAGGATTGAAGACCCCTGCTTTAAAAGAAGCTGTCAGTCTCAAGATAAGAATCTAATTTTGTGACTGCATTTTTTTGGAGTTGTCATTTTTGTACATGCAGTAGTCCATTGTCATTTTTCTTTCAAATAAGGTTCTCTAAAAGGCACTTTGACATGTAAGCATGTCAAGTTGTTTGAAAATATGCTAATTTTAAATGATGCATTGTATTTATTGTTTTTAATTTTATAAAAGTGGGTTGCGACAATAATTGAGAACCACTAGAGTCTAATGACTAGAGTCTTGACCATATTTGATTCTGGTATGTGTTTGTGTTGAACATGTACATGATGTAATGAGTGTACTGTTATTTTGTTTTGGGTGCCATAACAGAAGTAAAACGACAAAACGATATCCAGTCTGTTTGTGTACTGCTTTACAGGGAAGCCGTAGCGTTTAGGTGAGAGTTGGGCAGTACGTCCTCGACAGATTGCCTGGGCTGACAAATTAACAATGTAAAGTACCGTATTTTCCGCACTATAAGGCGCTTCGGAGTGTGAGGCGCACCTTCAATGAATGGCCTATTTTAAAACTATTTTCATATTCACCACATTATAACGCGCATAGAAGTTACAATAGTGGTTGCAGTTCCGTTACGCTAAAGGGAATACAATACAGCTTTATTTATATGGAGCTTTCACCGGTGCAGCTGTAACAAAGCGCTTTACAGAACATTTCAAATACTACGTCCAAGAAATCAGAGTATTGATCCATGTATAAGGCGCATCGGATTATAAGGCGCACTGTTGGCTTTTGAGAAAATTGAATGCTTTTAGGTCCGCCTAATAGTAGAGAAAATACGGTACACTTAAAATAACCACTCAGGGCAATGAAAGTGGGTTATTTAAAAGCTTTCCATCAGTATCCTTTCTGATAGATTGTCCCTCAAAACATCTAAAATACGTTTAACTTTAACAACTGCTAAAATAGTCGTTGACTGAATAAGGTACACGGTGAATGTGATGGAAAAATATCAAGAGAAATCACTTACCAAAACAAATAATTTATGTTTATCATCGATATATACAAAGGTTAACATTACAGCTGTGCAACGGTTACAAAATTGGTCCACGCAGGAAAACACAAACACTCCATACATACACGAGGATACAAATACTGTAAAATGTGCGTATGAGGTATGAAGTCGGGTAAAACGTTGTTCTTCAAGAGCAGTAACGTCACATCGAGGTCCATTTGTCTCAGGTACGGTGAAAAATACAGGTGGAGGAATCACGTCGGGTTTTGGTTTTGACATACGATCATTAACAAACTTAGCTGTTGACACTGACGCAAAATGACAATGTTGAACTTGATGCTTGGGCCATTTTGAAAACATCGAATAGTGACACTCCTTTGTTATGCTTCCAAATAGTAAAAAAAAAAATTTTAAAAAAAAGTTTGGCATACTTAATACAGCTGCGTTGCTTCTTTGATCGAAAAAAAAATTTTTCTTGTAAATAATTTGATTCAGCTCGATCATGTCACTCGCAGGGCATTGAATTGATCACAACTGGGCCGTTCTGGTTGGCTTTGAAGACGTCTCAGTGATTCATCCCCGAACGACTAAACGTGACTTCAAATGCCTTTTCTTCTAACTTTATTCCACCGTCGTTAGACCCCTCGATCATGTCACTCGCAGGGCATTGAATTGATCACAACTGGGCAGTTCTGGTTGGCTTTGAAGACGTCTCAGTGATTCATCCCCGAAACGACTAAACGGGACTTCAAATGCCTTTTCTTATAACTTTATTCCACCGTCGTTAGACCTTCGATACCATTCAGGTTTTTGAGTTATACCTCTAACTTGAAGGATAAACACTTGGCTTTTTCCCGCCAACTCCCAGGCTCGTGCTGTCTTAACTCCCCTTTGTGCTTGATGAAACCTGCTCAGGCGAGAAGTCAAAATGACAACCAAGACACCCAGAACAGTCCCGTTGCGATCAATTCAATGTCCTGGGAAAAAAAAACAACAACTTCAGTTTCGTAGAAAACAACATGCACACATCCACACAGGCAGGCAAAACAAGGACACACATCGGGTTTGCATATTTTTTTTTTTTTGTTATCGAGCAGTGAGCACCGAGCAGTGCTATAGCTCAGGTTTCATCTTTTATCAGAGAGAGCCTGCTCCACACGCAGAATCGGCATACCGAAATATTAACCCTTTCATGCACCCTGTAACCCGATAACATGATAAGCTGTCCACTGCAGTAACCGCTGTCCCCGAAAGGGTTAACATGGGGTTTCCTGTCATTGTCAAATATCGCGTCCTCAGAATATAACATTTCCAAAGAAAACAAATGACAGGCAAAGTGTGTCGACCTCCAGGCTTCGACAAAACATGCAGATGTTTCATACTTCATTGTACTGTTCTTTTGTGCGCTTGAGCCCATTTAGGAAATGGTCTGAATTGTGCTACTTGGTAAAAAGAGATCTGGAGAATCGCACAGGCCACTTCATGAACTGATTGCATAGCTGTACACTCTCTAAAAGTATTTGAAACAGTGAGGCCGGTTTCCTTTGTCTTTGCTGTTCGACTGAAGCAATTTGTGTGTGTCTGTGTGTGCATACCTCACAAGGGTCATATATATATAT